GATCGAAATATTGAATTTCTAATAGCAATTAAACCATGAATGCTTGCATTGCTAATTTTTCCTTCACATTTGCCAATAACAAATGAGCTAGATGAATGTATTTACGTACAGTATACATATGTATTTATTTATGTATGCATACGAACCTGCATTTATGGCACTGCTGGCAATTACATTTGCAATTTAACCACACTTACGATCTACTTGCTCCTTCCTGCATACGTGCGCACATAATAAATGGAGCCCAAAGTGCAGCTGCAGCCATTTTAAGGCACTTGTATGCCAGTTTGCACTGCTTTGCTTCACATAATGAATAAGTATTCAGGGCAAAGCTTGTTGGACAATTTATGCATGCTCGTTCAATAATCCTATTAATGCTGATTCACAATAATTTATATACATACGTATTCATTTTATTGAGAATAGATGGGAATTATTAGAAATATTGCATTCACTTTTCTAGCTGAAATGTAGTTTGAAAATTGAAGGGTGAAAACACATACATGCATGCATAGATATACATATGTATATGTAATAATGAAGGAACAAGGCAATTCCACATTTATTCGAAATTCGATTGCACTGCGAAAATGTATATTATTTGCAAAAATTTTGCGTCATAAATACTCAAATGGATGTTATACACCTTAGTAACTACATAATAATCCCAAGTTCGCTTACGCTAATCTCCGAAACTGCCCAATCGATTTAAATTAAATTTCGTGGGTATGTATTGCTGGTCTAAGCTTGAAAGATTAATTTTGGGTCATATAGGTGCACTTCCGGGGCTTAGATCGTTCACTGTCCTTGTTAGTTTTATTTGAGAAAAGCCCTTAAAGTTATATGTGAAGTTAAACCTTAGAAGGCTCAGGTCAACTGCAGATTGCCATACCCGCTGAAACTTCTTGTGAAGATCAATAAGCAGCGAGAATACATTAGCGTACTCTTTTGAAAGTATTCTGTGGTCAGTTTCCTATCTCTTCTTCTGTGGGTAACAGCTTTAAATTCTTTTCTGATCCACACGAAGGGAGGGGTATGCACCCCCATCGCAACTGCGGACGACCTTACCCAGATTGTAAGTGGGAAATTTCCACAAACCTTGTGTGGCGTAAAGCAATCGAAATAAGCCAGACCTGATACTTTTTATCAGGAAGTACAAGGTCTTCACGCCAAACACAGCAGCAAACATGACGCTTAATCTAAGCGAATCTGTGAGGTATCTGGGTATAATCCTCGTTAAAAAGCTAAACTAGACGAAAAATGTTCAAGAAAGTGCGCGCAGGCTCATTGTAGTCACTTTTAGGCCAAACTAGTGGCTACACAAGAATCTGGTGAAAGTCAATGGGCTATTAGGGCACTTTATTCCGTCACTATAAATTCGGATACGGTAGCGAGCTGCCATAAATCCCTCTAAATTAGATGGCAGAACAGTTCGCCTCGCATCTAGTTTGGGTATCCAGGCCTTGTAACATACCAAAGCAGACGAGCTGGCAAGTAGGGGTACTTGCATACCACTTTCTTCGAACTGGAAGAAGTTAGGCATGCCGCTCGCTTGCTGCAAGCTCAGGGTTAGGGAATTTTACTTAAATGAAGCACGTACAAGGTAGAGATGTTTAAGTACATGCAACACCGCCAAACTCATGTGGCCAGAGTGGGACATGAGAAAATCTCGGGAGCTTCAGTTTAGTAGCATTTCGTATTTCGACACTGAGATATCGATATTACAAATATCAAAACAATGATTTTTATTTAAAAGCATGTAAATAGAAGAGCCCTTGAAACTAAAATGCAATGAGCGCTTATGACCCATAAAAGTAATTGACTTGAATTCCCATACTTAAGCTGATTATAATATTTCTAAACTGTGTGCTTCTAAATAATTTCTTCTGTGCTTTGCATTTATTTATTTTAACTTGTCCCCTTCAAGCTTATTCCGACTTCGACCTAAGCGATAATTGTTAACGATTACAAGTGCTTTTTCAATAGCACTACAAATAACTTTGCATTATTTCTATGTACATATATGTACATAGTTAGTTGCTGCAACTTACCCGCAAACTCCATATCCTTGCAGGCATGTAATTATACAATTCATTACTCTCTTGGCCTGCAATGAAATGGAATTATAATTTTCCTGATTGATTTTAATGTTTTCACCTCCTACTTCTGCTTACCACAAGTGCACATACAAAGCCACAAATATGTTGTGTAAACCA